CTGGAAGTAAGGGATCTCAAGACCGTCGTGCACGCACTGGTAACCTCACTCCTCGACTTCTGTAATGCGCTCTATGACTATTATGACTAAAAATATGTCCACATCACTCTGGTTTTGAGGTCCCTCCACTAGCTGCCTATTAGTTTCCGGGCCCAGTACAAGGTGTTGGTTATCCAAGCTATCTCAGGGAACGCCTCCTTCCATATAATCCTCCCCGCGCTCTCTGGTCCTCTGGGAAGAATTTGCTGCAGCCTCAAAGATCTAGGCTTGCGGCGACCTCCCAGAGGGCCTTTTCTGTTGTCGCCCCTAAACTCTGGAACAACCTGCCGGATGAGATCCATCAGTTGACCTCATTACACAGCTTTAAAAAAGCTATCAAGATGGATCTTTTCTGGCAGGCCTTTCCAGACTAAACACCCCGGCCTTGGGTTCCTTGACTCCTGCGTTCCTCCCGTGGCCCCATCAGTTGTTGATGGATGAGGAACGCAGTAGAGGTTGATGAGGACACCGTAATTTGTTTCAATGTTATATGTTTTTATTGTTATGTCTAATTTTATCTTATTGCTATTTTAACTACGTATTATTTAATACTGTTTTAAGGGGGAGTTGTTGTTTTTTTCTTTGAGATATGTTACATGGGTTTTACTGTAAGCCGCTTGGATTGTTTGTCAATAAGTGGGATATAAACAAATTATTATTATTATTATTATTATTATTATTATTATTATTATTATTATTATTATTATTATGAGCACCTACCCTTATGGTTGGACACGGCTTGACAACCTTGTCAACGGGGAATACCTTTAACTTTAAATTTACTGCATCTGTGCTTTCTCTAGGCATCTCCCCCAATAATGCCCTTTGTGGAACTTGTGATCTGATGTAGCAGCAAGCTCAAGTTTCTTGTCCTCAAGTTTGAGGAAAAGAGGGTGGAAAAACAGAAATATGGTCAAAAGAGACTAGATCTTACGTCGGATTGAGCTGCGTAGGACTCCTTCCTCCTCATCAGGTTCACCCGTCCTGGGAAAAGAACAAAACATTGTCATTCCAAGCTTTCTAAACTTCTAGCATTATTCACATCCTACAGTGTAGACAGACAGACTTATTTTACTAACAGGATGGGTCAGGTGCAGAACAGAAACTGGATAGCTAGTTCCTTTTGAGGCTCCCTCCCACAAGGCTTACTGCTCCTATAGACTGGGACATTTTGCACAACAAGCAAAGCAATTGCCCCCCCTGCTGACATACAGAGGAAGTAACTAATCAATATACATTGGTCAACCAAGATGATTTCATCAACAAGAGAGGATCAAAAAATTACTTTTGGGGACCATAATTCCCAGAATCCTGCAACCAATATTCTGAACTCTCAGTACAATGTATTTATGGTGCTGGGGGGATGCACCAGTGAAGAGGCTGCAACAGGGAAAAGGGTTTGGTGCTCCTTACTATTATGTCCCAAACTATGTTCCCAAACTGGATGAATGACTGATGAAGGGGAATGAAAATTATGCTGGAATGGGAGCAAAATGGATTGGAATAACCAAAAAAGGGATGGTTGGTGGTATCCCGGCAGACTCCTGAAAATAAGCATTCAACATGGCACTATTTTATATCAGATCTCCCTGTAACTCTGGTTAGGTAGACATATAGCAAGGATGCAGGACCTCTTTCACCTAAAGAGTTGAATTTTGCTTCAGATAAGTTTTCAGGAGCCAAATTTCAATGATGGGCAGGGGACAAGGCAAAAGGGTGGGACCCAGAGTTCCAGTGAATTTTAGCTTAAAGGTGTTTTTGCAAGTAAGTAAGCCTTGAGAGAGGCATTAACACTTTTTAGAATGAAGAAAAACCCACACTAGTTAACAACAAAGTGCCAGGCTTTGTTGTTGTTGTTGATGATGATGATGATGATGATGATGATGTTAACTGCTGTCAAGTCAACTTCAACTTACCTCACCCTGTATCAAAGATCTCAGGGCAGATTACAAGAAGCATTAAAACAAGTTATACAATTTAAAACAATAAAATAATTTAATAAAATAAAAACATATTAAAAGGTAGTAATAACTTAAAACAGATTTAAAAGATTTTTTTAAAAATTTAAAACTATGGACATCATATTTTGGATGAGTTAAGGAGGCCCAAAGGCTTTGATGAACAGCCAAGTTTTAACTTGGCACCTAAATGACATGAGTGTTCATGCCAGTCGGGTCTCCATTGCGGAGGGCATTCAACAATTGGGATGCCACAGCTGAGAAAGCCCTTTTCCATGTCCAACACAGTGTATTGGTAGCTATGTATTACTCCATATCTGG